TTCAGTTTCATTTGTTTTAGTAATATTGAATTTACATTGCACGTCATTTTTTAATTAGACTTGATAGATTATATTTTTGTCAAACATTTAATAATTCATGACATTTTATTTATATATTATTCTTTTTATCAAACATGCATTTCACGATATTCGTAGAAACTTCATACTTTTAGTTGTTACGATCAATTCAATTGAAATATATTAATTTGAAAAAATATAAATCAATTATTTTTTCATAATATTAGTTACAAAAAATATGTTTATTAATTAATATATTTTTAAAAAAGAATATATATATCTTAAATATTTAATTTAATGTCATTTATAAAGTTTCTTATTTGTCTAGTATAAATTTTAAATAATTAATTTTTATTTTTAAAATTTATTATAATTTTATAATTGCAAATGTGCATCCAAACAGAACATGTGTAATTACACTGTGGCATCCAAACAGGACATGTGTAATTACAGTGTAATGACACTGTGGCAACCAAACAAGTCAGTGTAATTACTAGACAGTGTAATTACTTAACTAGTAATTACTACCCTAGTAATTACACCAATTCCAATTACCAAGTGACTTTCCAAACAGACCCTATATGAATTGTTAACATAATTCTCTAAGGAATAAGTTGACAAACTTTAAGCAAAATAAGAGTTAGAACCATAGAATCTGATTCAAGACGTTGATAACTTGATATACCTAACTTTGATTGAAAATTTAAGTAAAAAAAAAATTGTGATTCACTTTGTTCAACATTGTTCGACTAATGATTCAGATTTCTGATAGAGTATTACTTTAACTTATCAAAGATTTGAAGAAAAAGGAGTTTTAAAATAAATAAATAATGTGATTGTCAGAAATGTAATAAGACAAAACAAGTTTTCTTGATTTCTTCTATTTGAATGGAGTTAAGGAGAATAAAATAAAAATTTGTTCTAGGTAAAAATTTGAGGCCTCCCAAAATTGGGGGCCTAAGGCATGTGCCTTAATTTTTCTAAGCAAGAGCCGCCCGTGTAATTATCTTGTGCAACTACTAAGTTTTGGTCCAAATATGAATACAGGATACTCTGCTATATATCTCCACATTAATTGATTTTCTCATTTCTGCAATAATTAATCATCTTATTCTGATGTGGTTGCTTCTATTGATTTGCTTTTCTTAGTAAGTTTTATTTTTTTTTTTAAAAATCCTCTGCTTGGTGTATTTGGCAGATGTTCAACATGCATGCATCTATATAGTTGATTGTTTCTTTTTTTTTTTCTTAAATATTTTATTTTAGTTCTAAGTTTGTTATGTTGAGTTTTTATCTACTCTTGCTTTTTAATGCGTCTTATTGTTAATGGAATTCCGGTGATATTAATATTTTGGCTATTTATTTGAGTAGTTTTGATTAATACATTAGATTTGCACTCTGATGAACGAAAGGTATTTGACAATATGCCTAAATCAACTAATTTTTTTTCACAATAGATTTTCTACAACAACTAATTCAGAAATATCAAGATTGCTTATTTCTTCACTACAACCAATTTGATTAACAGGGACAAATGATTTCGTCATTTATAAATCATATTTCGTCACTAAAAAACTTGTGAGATGAAAAATAATCCGTCAATCAGTCGTCACTAAATGTGTGTCGCTAAAAGTATACAAAGACGATTTAGTGATTCGTCGCTAAAAGTATTATATTAACTACAAAAAGAAAAATTGCCCCCAAATGATTAAACATTTGTGACAAATTTATTTGTCGTAAAAAGTATATTTTTTGGTAGTTAATGCATGCTTTGTCACTAAAAAGGTTATTACTACCGACAAAATTATATCGTCGCTAACTATTTTACTTCAATCAGTGACGACATCAATTGTCTCTAAAGTTTATGTATTTCGTAGTTGAACAAAATCTAATTTTGTCACTAATAACTATATTTTATATACAAAAAAAAATATTTTGTTCTTAAATATTTTAATTAGGGACAAATTTATTATTATAAAAAAGGTTAATTTTCTATTATATCCCATCTACATTTTTTAACCCCTTCCCAAGAGCTCCCACATTATGCTTTCTTGGGGACTCGAACTCACAACCTTAAGGTTGGAAGTGAGGAGTGCTAACCATCTAATCAACTCTCTCTTGTCTCTCATTTTTATTTTATTTTTAACTTCATTCACTTCTTTCAAATTTAACTTCTGTAGAAATAATATACTATATGATTATTTATACACATACATAAAGGAATGAATTTACCACCCACAATTCATTCAAATGTAGATTATATTTTAATTAAACTATATATTTTTTAAAAATATATTTAAACATATTTAGTACGATTCTGTCATTTTAATTATTTATTTTTATAAATTTTAAAAATTATTCAGTACAATTATAAATTTATATAAAATTAAACTTTCGATTTTATTTTTAAAAAAATGAATAATCGGTTCAATTCGGTCAGTTAATCAATTGTTTTGAAAAAAACGTCGATATGCATAACTATAGTTAGGGGTATTCATGGTTTGGATAAAAACCTATCCAAATCGAAAAATCAAACCAAACCGATTAAATGAACCGATTTAATTTGGGTTTTGGTTTGGTTTGGTTTTAGATTGTTAAGAACCGATAATCATTGGTTTGGTTATGGTTTTGTTCGAAAAAAATCGAAGAAATAACCGAACCGAACCAACAAGTTATATACATAAATTTTATTATTATACATACATAATATATTATATTCATAAACAATTTTAAAGATTTTATATATGTTTCACCAAAATTTATTTATAATTTACTTATGAAAGAAAAAATGTCCAAGGTGAGAACATTTTTCTTATTGGTTTCATGTATATGAGTGTCTATGGAAATTCATTGTGGGACTGAAAATGTCATTGTCTCTTCCTTCTATGCCAAAATAGTGAATTGTGACGTTTTATTCAGTAAATTCAATAATCCAAAGTTCTGTAATGCCAGTCATTTTAACTATTTTTTCGTTTGAATGGATTGTTGTCACTTTTTTCACGTTTTGAATGAATTGTTTCTTTTATTTTTATGTATGGTTAATAACCGAATAACCAAACCAAAACCGAAAACAACCAAACCGATAAATGTATATTATATTTGGTTTGGTTTGGTTTTGATAATTTTAAAATTGATTAAGTTGGTTTGGTTTTGGTTTTGACCAATAATCGACCCAAACCAACCTGTGAACACCCCTAACTATAGTACTTCATCATAGTATATTTGAAATCCTAGTTGATTCATTTCTTTTATTTGTGCTTTCATTTTTTAGTTTATTTCAATTTTCACACTGATGGAAAAAGTTAATACAAATTCATGCAATATTTCGCACATTTGCAAAGTCTAAGTTTGTAAGTCGATGTTATCTCTGTAGAGTTGTTCTACGTATGTGAAATTACTATTAAATATGTACATATTTTTAGACATAATCAAATAGATCGACTTAGTCTATGCAGTTTACCAGTCACAATTCAATAGACACGTACGAAAATTAGCACCAAGAATTGAGAAATTATTTTTCTATCATCTTTATCGATGAAAGTGATCAAATAAAAAATAAAAGTGTTAAACCAACAAATATTAGTGATCTAGTGGTAGAACCGTACCCCACTCACAGTACTTATAACCTGGATTGTATTTTTCAAATGATGCATTTTACAATTGCCTAATTTAAGAAAATTGATGAATTAAACTTTTTCATTGTTACAAAATCAACTGAATTCATTGGTTTTAATATTTTCTCTCGCCAATTAATGAATGGTCTCTGTCTATTTCTTATGAAACTCTTGTACTATTCTTTTTGTATGTTGTCACTTGTAATTATGAACAATTGTTGCCAAAAAAAAATTGTATATAGCTATGAATATTTTTCGTAGCAAATAGTTGAATTATTCACTACAAATTCTAAGTCGTCGCTATTTCACACCTTACATATTTTGTGACAATTTTTTTGTTGTCTCTACAGATTGATTAGAGACAATAAAATCATTGTCACCAATTATTTATATTATTAGTGACGAAAATAAATGTCATAATTAAATCTAAATTTTAATAGCTAAAACTTATAATATTTAACTACGAACTCTAATTTGTCGATATTGTAACAACATATTTTCTTAAATGAAAATTTTTTGTGTCAAAATTAATAAATTTTAAGACAAAAAATAATTTGTCATGAATTAGATATATTATTAGTGACGAAATAATGTGTCACCGATAACTTTAAATCGTGACTAACACTACTTAACAAATGGTGCGAATTAATTTTTTGTTGGGAAACTTTAGTGGACAAAACTTTGCCACGGTTTTTTATGTTTCATCACTATAAGTATATGTCTCATATATTAAGCACAAAAAGTAAATTTGGTCACTAAAAGCGAATAATTAGTGACGAATTTATTGTCGTAGCTAATAATTTCGTAGCTATATATCATATTTGTCAAACTTGGTACCTGATGATTTGTGGTTTCCTCATCTTTTACCTCCAATTGACACACAACAATAATGTAGCTTCATCTCCTTATTAAGGTATGTTCATCTTCTCATAAATGTATTTATTTTGAAAATTGCAAGTAATTTTACCATATTTGAACAAGCCATTTTCAATTTGCTTTACTTCACCTATATTTGAAAAAGCCATTTTCAATTAGGATGACTTTACATTTAATCGATTTTTCATTGCTAACTAAATCATAAATTAACTCGTGATGGAATTTTTTTTCAAATCTTTCTTTATTAAGTCGAAGAAGAAATTTATACTATATGATCTTTTTTGGTTATCCTATACATTATAGAGTATGCTAGAATCACTAAATGCAAGATGTCATAGATCTCTTATTGCATCACATTAACAATTACGTTAAGTAATGTAAATATTTTTTACACTCCTCCTTCCCCTATATATAGACACACATATCATTTGGTTAATTAAACTATATGAACTACCACTGTTTTTTATCAATTCCATTCCTAAAATGAGTGAGAAAAATCATCACCAATAGTGAATAATGAAGAAATAGAGGGAATTATACAACAACTGCCCAAAAATGATTATTTATGGAATAAATCTCTGTATCAGTGGGAAGGATTTTGGTCCAATCTTGCCATTATAAAGGCAGCCCAGGTCTTCAAGGCAACCTTCAAATCAGAACCTAATGATATTCTCTTGGCATCTTCCATGAAAACAGGTTTTTATTAATCAATTGAGTTGAGTTTGATTAGTGAATTCATCAACTATTTTATCTTCTTGTGGAAAAATATACATGTTTCATATTTAAGGACCAAGGTTGTATGTTTGGTACGAAGGAAAATGTGTTCCTAATTTTCTTAGGTATATCTTTCATCACCTATATATTTTATTCAAGTCTAAATTGTAACTTTTTACGTATCAATGATCAATGAAAACAAGATTTTAACTAATAAAAAAACTATATATTTTCATTATAATGTCTGATGTTTGTTTTACAGGTTCAACATGGCTCAAGGCCATATGTGTATCCATCATGCAAGGTGGTAAAGAAGAAGAAGAAGATCTTTTAGTTAAGGATAATCCTCATTTTCATGTTCCAACAATAGAGGCCATGGATTATTATTCAAAAACTCCAACATATGATCTATACACAATGCCCTCTCCAAGATTATTTCACACACATTTACCTTATAGGGTTATGCCAGATTCAATAAAAAATTCTGATAATTGCAAGATTATATACATAACAAGAAATCCTAAAGATACCTTGATTTCTATGTGGCATTTCTTTAACTATAATCGTAAGCGTTTAGAAGATCTCTCTCCTTTAGAAGAAGTTGTGGAGTACTTTTGCAATGGGGTTCATCAATATGGACCATTTTTTGAACATGTTCTTGAATATTGGGAAGAAAGTAAAAAAAGGCCTCAAAAAATGCTATTCTTGAAGTATGAAGACGTGAAGATAGACCCTAAGAAAGAGGTGGAAAAAATAGCCTTGTTTCTTGGAAAACCTTTTGGTAATGAAGAGGATTTGGAGATAGTTTTGAAGAAGTGTAGCTTGGAGAGGCTTAAGAATTTGGAGGTTAATAAGAGTGGATCAATCTTCTCTACTGTCCACAATAATGCATTTTTCAGAAAAGGAATTGTTGGGGATTGGAAGAATCACATGACACCTGAAATGGAAGAGCAACTTGACAAGATTACCAAGTTGAAGCTTCAAGGGAGTGGCCTTGAATTTGATACTTATAAACAAGAAGTATTGAAAACACCGTGAACTACTTGAAGTGAATTATTAGTTTCATTCTTGAATTATTGACAGTCTTAAAAACATTCATCTATTTGGCTAACTCAACGTAGATACACCTCGATCTACGACATAGCATAGCAAGTCGTCTCAAACTCTTGTACGAGCATGAGACTCTTAATAAATAGCCGAGGTGTATTTAAGTTCAGTTAGTCAAATAATGGGTATAAAGTTGTTAAAATTTAGAAACAAAAATAATAATTCATGTCGTCAAATTTGGGAATGTACTTTAATAAGCTTTTCTATTACTTCATCCGAATGAGTAATAAGTTAGGGTTGTTAGAATAATAAAACTTAAATGTTAAAGCGTCTATCTTCCATGTCTTTTTGTATCTCTTTTATGAAGTATGAGTCTAGAAATATCTCTTAATTGTTGACATCTATAAAAGTTTATCTTTTGTAATGTTGTTATGCACACATGGAATTTTATGAGAAAATGGCCAAAAGACCCGCAACCTATAGTCAAATTCCCAACTACATACTCATACTTTACGAGAGTCATATTATCCTCCCCCCCCCCCCCCCCCGGACATTTTTTTACATATTATATCACCCTTATTTGTTGATATGTCGAAGAAGGTGAGAACAATTCCCTTAGGCGCGTAAGAAGAGAAAATAAAACATCAAAAGCTGAAGCAAAGTACGCGTGTGAGTCCAAAATAGCTATAATTAATCCCCAATGGTATAATCTCATTCTCTCCCAAAATCAAACTCTCTCTTTCTTCCTCTTTTTCTCAATTTTCAATTGTATATTCCTCCATTCTCTCCCAAATCAGCTTAAAACTTGAATTTACTTTTCAAAGCATTCAACTGTAGTTTCAATTTCGAAAAAGCTTGAAGCTTTAAGGCTTGTAATTTCTCCAATTTCATAGTTAAGGTTCAAAAATTGTTCTTCAAATTCGTTATTTTTTTCTTTGTTAGGTAAATAATGGCAAATGTGGACTTGAATAAGCTTTCATAGTTAGGGTTCAAAAAGTGTTTTTCATCAATTGGAACGAAATCTCATATTATGAAGAGAATGGGGGTGAATATGGAGTGATTAAAAAAGGTTAGGGTTTAGAGAAAGAAAGAGGAAAATGAAAAGGTTAAGGGAAATTTTAGAGTTATGAGGTCCATTTAATACTTGGCAGCGCGTGTAAACAAACATTTTATTATATCTAGTTTATGTGGACATGTCAGCAAATAAGGGTGAGATAATATGTAAAAAAAAATGTTCAGGGGGGTAATAGGACCCCCATGAAGTATGAGTGTGTAGTTGAAAATCCGGCTATAGATTGGGGGCTTTTGGCCATTTTCTTGAATTTTATTATATTATGGAGTGAGTTTTATGTCATTATACTTCTTCGATCTTATTTATGTACTAGTATCTGGACACGTGAATATGAATTATTTAAAATGTCACGACCCAGACCATCGTGATTGGCACCAACACTAACCCTCCGGTGGGAGAACCACTACTACAACCCAAACCAAGCAACTAAACCAAAAACTAAAACATTTAAGTTACGGAAGCAAGTTAAATAGCTAAAAACTAAAGTTCTCATAAACTTCCAAAAGATCTAACCACTAAACAATGCGGAAAATACGCCTAGAACCTGAAAGTCAATGTACTAAAATATCTAATAATGAACCAAAAGTCTAAACAGGAAGGGATACAACCCCCAAACTAATGAAATAACTAGAAAAGTCTAAGTCCGAAATGTGGACATAGACGAAAGGAGAACTCATGGCAGCACGGAAGAAATGGCTCATCCTTGAATTCTATCGACGATCAGTGATGTTCTAAATGAGGTCTGTCAATAGCCGCTTGAAGATGCTTTGTACTCAACAAAGAAAGAGCAAGTGCAGTATCAGTACAGTAGGATCACGCGGCTATCCCACTAAGTGCAACATACATAAGTCATTACAACAATATAATCACATGCATATATCGAATATATACAATATTATCAACATTTACGAACAAGATGCAGTTTCACATTTCTCAAGATACACAATTATATCAAATCATTAGTGCTCTTATGGAACCCAAACCCAAACAATTAGCATACCGAAACGTAGTACCCAATCCTATGTTTATGTCGGAACGTGGAAACCGATCCCATATGCCGAAACGTGGCAACCGATCCAAGTTAGTAAGTCGGAACACAACACTCGATCCATTCAACAAGCCACAATCACAAGTACATTCTCATAATCATATAATCAAGTCATGATTCATGACATTTATCATTCATATTTCCTCATTTACAATAAATGTGATCAATAATGCAACATTCGCATACATACGTGTATCACAATGAAGTAACAACAAACATACATCACACAATCATAGAATCACAACCATCACCTACCTCGAAACAAACTTGAAATCCTAAGAAACATGATCCTTCCCTTTCTAGATTCGTTTCGCTTGTTCTTGGTCTACAAACAATCATAATAACATGGGAATCAATAAATAATTACTTATTACCTGAATTACTAACAATTCTATGAACCCTAGATCAAACTCATGATCTCAATCTCCCAATTACGATTGTTTCCATCATAAATTACAGATCAAAATCCTCCCCCATCGATAATTACCCAATCGACTACATTCTACGGATCGAAAAACAGATTCGGGGAGTTAAAATCTTACCTTAAGCCTCAAAATGGTGGAAAACTGTCAAGAAAAGACATGTGTTCGTTCCTTAGATCTAAAGCCTGACAAGCGTAGAATAAAGACGTTTTGAGGTTTATTTACGACTTTAAGTCACGTCTGGTCCGCCACATCGACCCTCACCCTACTACATCGGCCCCGCCAGAGCAACCAAAATCTCCGCCAAAGCGGCTTGCACGAAACAGTGAGCTATTTTAATAATTCCAAGAACCTCATTTCACATCACACCTTCAACCAACGACACTCAAAAAATACCCGTTCACGCTAAGATCAATTTCGAGAATTCTACTCGCCCTAATTCAATTCCGTAAAGTTGTATAGATTCCTTAACGCGTTAGCTATCTACTAATGTAATCAAAATCATAATTAAATCACCCGATTGTTACCGGATTTGCCTACACCTTAATGACTCTGATTTAATCTAAATCGGGACTAGGTTGGGAAATCTCAAGTTACTATGAAAACATTTTCGATCCAAAAAATTTCCCCATTGGTTTTTTTATAACGATGGAATCCGGTCGTTACAATAGATACCAATTTACCCATCACTCGTCCCCGAGTGACAAACTAAGGAAAAATAGGCTAAGGAAAGAATGGAGTAGTACCTGAATCGATGAACAATTGGGGATACTTGTCTCGCATGTCCTTCTTGGTTTCCCAAGTAGCTTCCTTAACTGGATGATGCTTACATTGAACTTTCATCGACTTAATATCTTTGGTCCTCAGCTTACGCACATCACGATCAAGAATTGCAATCAGTTCTTCCTCATATTGGAGGTCTTTGTCTAACACAATTGAGTCCCACTTAATGATGTAATCCTCGTCGCCATGATATCTCTTGAACATGGACACATGAATTATCGGATGAACTCTCGATAGGTTGGGAAGTAAAGCCAATTTATACGCTACCGGCCCTACACATTCAAGAACCTCAAAGGGACCAATGTATCACGGACTTAACTTGCCCTTCTTGCCAAATCTCATCACCCCTTTCATGGGTGATACCTTAAGAAGAACATTCTCATTGGTTTGAAACGCCATGTTTCTTACCTTATGATTCACGTACTTCTTTTGTCTACTCTGGGCGGCTAGAATCTTAGTTTGAATACTCTTCACCTTATCTTGAGCATCCTTCACCAAATCAACCCCCAAAGGTTTCACATCTCCAGCCTCGAACCATCATATGGGTGATCTACATCCCCTCCCATAGAGTCCCTCAAATGGTGACATATCTATGCTGGAGTGATAACTATTATTATAGGAGAACTCACACAAAGGTAAGAACTTATCCCAATGCTCTCCAAAATCAATCACACATGCCCTCAACATATCTTATAACACTTGAATGGTCCTCTCGGACTGCCCGTCCGTCTGTGGATGGAAGGATGTACTAAAAGTGAGTTGTGTGCCCAATTCATCATGTAATTTCCTTCAAAACTTGGATGTGATTTGGGTACCACGATCTGAGATGATAGAAAGGGGCACTCCATGCAACTTCACTATCTCTTTCACATAAACTTTAGCCAATTGTTCAGCATTATAATCTACTCTTACTGGAATAAAATGGGTTGACTTAGTCAATCTATCAACAACTACCCAAATAAAATCAAGCTTTCCCAAAGTCTTGGGAAAACCAACTACAAAATTCATGGCTATTCTTTCCCACTTCCATTCTGGAATTGGCATTCTTTGAATCAAACCTGCAGGCCTTTGGTGCTCATGTTTCACTTGTTGGCGATTTTACACTTACCTACACACTCCGTTATATCCTTCTTCATGCTCGGCCACCAATAAATTCGCTTCAAGTCTCGGTATATTTTCGTCAAACCCAGATGAATAGAATATAGCAAACCATGAGATTCTTCCAACAATTTTTGAATCAAGTCATCGACTCGAGGAACACAAATTCTTCCTTTAAAACTGAGCACACCTTCTGCATCAAGAATGGTCTCTTGTGCCTTACCAATCACAGTTTTCTTCTTAAGTTCATTCAAATTCTCATCCTCAAATTGCTTTGCCTTGATTTATTCAACGAATGTGGCCATCACGTCAATGCTAGCTAACACCCTACCTTTTTCTGAGATGCCCAATTGCATGAATTTAGATTCCAAGGTCTGAATTTCTTTAGCCAAATGTCGTTTAGTTACACTCAAGTAAGCTAAACTACCCATACTTACCGTCTTTCGATTCAAAGTGTCTGCCACTACATTAGCCTTACCCGAATGGTATTGAATGGTCACATCATAATCCTTGAGTAACTTCATTCACCTTCATTGTCTCAGATTCAGATTTTTTTGAGTGAACACATGCTGCAAACAACGATGATCAGTAAACACCTCACACTTAACACCATAGAGGTAATGTCGCCAGATTTTAATAGCAAACAC